GTTGTCCTTGTATGAGCAGCTCACTCTTTCCATCGACCTGATCAGCCCAGCCGACTTCTTAAAAACCTCCTCAGCGTTCCCACAGCTCCATCAAGCAACGTCTGCTTACAAGAATCCGATTCGACGTGCTGGAACAGGCTCGACAGCTTTGGCATTGTCGCACCGCAAGTCGGACACCTGAAGGGACTGGCATGACACTGCGCATGGCCGTAGTCAAGGAGATCATCATAACAGCAGTAGTCGGATATAAGATAGGGCCATTTGTGGCATTGAGTTGCAAGCATGTTCAGATCGGTATGATCGATGTCACCGCAGGTGCCGCGTTCAAGATGGATGATCTGTGATGGTGAGTAGCGAATTGGCGTGAGTATGGGTAGGAAACATACCATGCCGCCATAGGTCTTAAACATATTGCTACATTCATAACACTTATACTGTGGCATACGATGCGAGATCCGGTGCTGCGTTTTCTCAGCACACCACACCTATTCAGATGAAGCTTCGCGGCCTACTTGATGGAGCTGGCTTGGCGTATCGAAGTGCCGCTCGCAATATGAACACACGTTACATTCGTCAAGATGTTCGTAGTACTCGTCGCAATCATATTCCCAGTGTCCTCCGTTTCCGTTGCCGCAGCCTTTGCACACAGTGCGGCAATTCGTTTGACGGCAATGCGTGAGCAAGTCCTGCCAAGTAGCGCCGTCATATTCGCATTCTGAACACTTGTGGTGGTTCGGGGAGTCGCGTTCGTGTTGAATGAGTGCGCCGTATAAACCAAAGGTACGCTGGCAGCGCTCGCACTCACTGCTTGTTGTCAGTGCATGATGAATTCGCAGAGTGATTACCTACAAGCTCCATACCATGATTGACGGATGGATGCCAGATCCTCGCCGCTGTGGCGATTGTGTGCTTGATATGTGTTTGAGCTCAGCTATTGCATTCGAAGTGAGGATTATATGCATGCCGGTAATCACGGAAATTCCCGACGCTCGGATGCTCGCCGGTGGGGTATACAGCGTGTCCTCTGCATCTAATACAGCTCGGGCAACTACCACCAGTCAACAATACAGAGAAATGTGGAGTGAAATGCTATGGTAGTTGCTTATTTTCTCACTAAGAAGAACATGCCAGAAATGATAAAAGCATTAGCCCGGGCATGCGGTAGGAAGAAGTCGTACGCGTGGTTGGAAGCGACAGCACATTCCTACACTGAAGATCTAGTTAGGCATAGCCTCAGCTCTATGAACTCCATTCCTTGAACGCCTTCTGCTTTTGCCTGCTATTCCACTGCAGAGTCCTCGAGATACTATCGATCCAATCCGTTCTCCTCTTGTTCAGTGGCAGCACGCTGGGGAACGGGAAGCGACTTGCGCTAATCGTAACGTAGTCGCCAGGCTTGAGTTCGACCCTTTCTCTGCCGTCAAAGCTGGCCCAAGAACTTGTTCTCGCGTCGTATGGTACACCGCACCGGAGTACGATGGTATCGGGAAGGATGATAGGTCTGAACGAGAGCGTATGTGCGCAGATGGCGGTAACGAGGACCACAGGGTTGTCGGGGTGGCAGAGCGATCCACCTGCCGCAAGGTTGTACGCAGTCGAGCCCGTAGGCGTAGACACGCAAATACCGTCAGCCTGCACAGTCGTGAAATGCTCGTCGTCTCCGAACAGCTCGATAGACGACATTGTAGGGTTTGGGCCCCGGTCTACGACCACCTCGTTCAAGATGTTATGTGTACCATCGGAGTAGTGGGTATGGTGGTCGTCGATTTCCTCCCCGATCAGTTCTTCGACCAGATCGCGGCCCTCGCCGTCCCGTTGTTGGGATCGCATGACGGTAGCTTCGAAGCGGAGACGCAGGCTGACGGTGATACCGTCCGCGAAGGCGGTAGATAGGGATTGCGGGTATAGTTCGAAATCGAATTTGGTGAGGAAGCCGAGCGAGCCTAGTGAGAAGGAAATCGTTGGAGGTACGATGCGCTGGAAGAGCCATGACGCATACAAGACTGTGCCGTCACCACCCAGCTGTGTTGTCGTTAGCCTTGAAGACTCCGCAGTATGACATGTCTTACCGCGAGGACAATGTCAAAGGTTTGTGGCTTTTGAGCGCACATCTCGTTGGTCCAGAATTTGAGCCGCCCTTGAAACCCCTCGTTCTCCAACAGCCCAGCAGCGTCGAAGATCTTGTTGTCCTCCAGCGTCTGCTCGACGTAGCTATGTCTCGTTAATCGTGTCTGTTGCTAGGCAAAACTAGCACATACACCGTATGCTCCGAGCTCTTCCGCAGAAGCCAGTCGGTCACCTCGCGCGAGTTCTTGATCAAGGCCTCGTCGTGCGCTTTGCCGAGGATGAAGATGTTCTTCACATGCAGCTTCAGCCTGATCTGTGACAGCTTCTTGGACAGCTCACGTATTCCAAATGCCATATCTGACAGCTCCTTCTTGGTCAACAGCCGCGAATGTTGCGTCTGCTCCGAGCGCGCCGAGGCTGGGTCTTTGTCGACGCGCCGTTCCTGCGCGAGGCCTTCGTGCGATTGGGAGTGATCTTGTACGGGCAAGCCATCGTGCTTTTCGAGCAGGGAGTGTACGATACACGCGGTGGTACGGCGACCGTTCTCGGGGCGGGACGTCATCTTGCCAGAGGGTGGGGGAGCGAGCGAGGCTTTGCGACGATGGCCGCTATATCCGCCTTCGAAGACGACCTGCGATTATTGGTCAGCGCATGGAGGATGGGTGCAGTGGAGTAGGTACTTCTAGCGCATCGTCATGGCTGGTCACCTTGGTGATATTCTTGGTGTCTTGGTCTCCAAGCTCGCTCTCCATGAGGAAGTTAGCTTCAACGCGTCGTTATGACGTTTGGGGGGTGCATAGGTACCTCGATTGCTTCCTGAACGCCTGGGCTCAGCTGATCGAAATAACTCGTCGCCATGGCTGAAGTGCGCAAATAGTCCTGCGATTGAAAGGGCCAAGAGACACGGCTGCCCTTTTGTAGCCTCGCTGTAGCGCGTGCGTAATGTCGAAGGTCGACAGTACTGCGGTTCTCGGCCCACTTTCCGAGGGGCAGGCTCGCCCGGCCCCGCTTGCTTCCAATCATGTCCGCGCAACGCCGATGAGATCAGCCGCCGGCGTCCTTACTCATGCCTTTTGCTCAACCACCATCATTTTCGTGGTGGTAGTTTTGCTGACAAAGGATGCTACAGCGGAACTTCCACTGATTCTAGCACTTCCTCGATGACATCCTCAACCGTGACACCTTCAAGGACAGCCTTGACTGCCTCGAGCGAGCTGCCCCATTGCATGCTGCGCTCGTTCTCTGGTGCAGTAATGACGATGCGATGTGGGTATATCTTGCGAGCAGCAAGGGCGATCATGGACGGTGAAATGTAATCGAGGCCGTGAAGTGGGGCGAGCGTACTACTGCCGTCAGTACCATCTTGATGAGATTGTGGACCACTCACTGTGCCAGCGTGTTGAAGTGTCTTGTGGCCAACGCAGAGATGCCTCCTGCAACTGCCCGATGCAGTCGCATGAACACGATAATGTTGTACAAATAGGCTCTTACTTCAGAGCTGATCCTGACTTGCGACACCAGCTTCGTCAAGGTCTCGAGGTCCTGTTCATATTAGTACAGAGCAGGTATACTACAGTCGACATACATCAGGTAGGAATAATGCTTGTTGCGGCTTATGCTTTCCCGGTTGGAATGGCGGCGTGCGAACTACGGATGACATTGATGCGCCGTCGTCTGATGCATGATTCTTCTCATGTAGCTCTTCAAGATTTGGTAGTCCATCGTCTGCTTGATGCTTGTGTGAGATGAAGAACTGATCATTCTGTAGCATTGTTAGAGTTTGCATCTGGATTGTGGGTAGACCTACCAGATGCATGGTTAATCGCGGTGTATCTGAAGCATTCAAAGCGATGAATAGGAACGGTTTTGGAGCCGCGTGTACTGCTGTCCTCGTGAAGTTCCGCTTGCCTCGTATTAGCTGTCTATCATTAGTTATGCTCGAGCAGAAAAGACGGTGGATGCACCTCCAAGGCCTGAATCTGAACCTGCGGGTTCGCCCTGTTGAGGTTTCTTGCGATAACAATGTTCGCGATGCGTTGGTTGTCCAATGGACTGAACGGTTTGGATGACCTCGATGTATGTCCGCCAGGCTTCCCAGGTGATACTGAGATGGACGAAAACTGGCTAGACGTTAGTCGCTGGCAAATTAGTCTAAACGAGCATAAGCTACCTCTCCTCTACCACGCCCAGACTTGCTGCCGAAGTAGTCGTTCTCTTCTCCTCTCACGAGGATTCCGCTTCCGAAGTCGTCCAACGTGGTATGCTCGGTGCATTCCAGTACAGCCCATGTAAGTCCGAAAACATTGGTAGCGGCCTATTTTTATCAGTATGCAAGGCATGTCAAAGTGGAGTGCAACTCACGAGCTTCAGTTCCTCCAGCACGTCACGGGTCAGTTGCCTTTCCGCTTCGATGATGCAATGTTGATCCGCGACCAAGCAGATGAGAACGGCAAGCTCCAGATCGCTGAGCGACTGCACTTTTTCTGTGATGCGATCTTCCGAAGCTTCCATAGCCGATAAGATCTGGGGAGGCTTTCTTCGTTCTTGTGGAAGTTCTAGAAGCCTGTAAGAAGTCTGGCGACGAAAGTGCTTGGACGCGATGGCTGCTTCCAAAGTCGCGTTCGGTGACTTCGGGAGCGAACAGGGATGCGATACAGCTAGACCAAGAAACGACTAGACTCGAATCCCCTGGAAGTCGCGCCCGGGCGGGCTGCATCTCGAGGTCTGCGCAAGAGCAACTTCAAAGCGACAGCTAAGCGTATGCGCACAACACTACATATGCATGTCTGAACGAGTTTCCAATGTTGTTGTCTCTTGATATCACACTATACAAGCTCGTGAAGAGTTACGACGTTGCCAGACAGCAAACCCATATGATGCGCCTACCCCAATCTCTACCAATCTCCCGCAACACGTAGCTTTCGCTCCAGAGCTTAGCCAGACTTCTTCCGAGCGCTTCCAGTATCTTCTTTCGGGATGCCGACGAGACGAAGGCTCTTCCAGGTGGTCGACGGGATAGTTTGGGGTACCGCTGGAGAGCTCAGGGCAGGGAAAGCTTCCGCTGCCACACGAACTTTGGGAAGCCCTCCAGGTGTATTGACGGATGGTTGTAGTACGTCACCATCAACTGCTTTCTCGTTGACAGCAGCTTGCTCCTTCTTGCGCGCGCCCTCGGGCCTGCTCTTCACGTTCGATCCGCGAGAAGACTGCTGCGTGGGAGCGGGCTTCAACTTTTCCAGCTGCTTCTCGGCTTCTCGAATCTTTACCTCGAGCGCCTCCTTCCTGCCAACTGATTCATTCATCTCCGCAGTCGCATTCTCGAGAGCGGTCTGCCAGATGGCTACGAGGCCGTCTAGATGCTGAAGCTCCGCGGCTTGTCGATCGGACGCTGTCGTCGGTGAGACGTCTGGATGTGTAATCGCAAGTAGGTCAATTTGGCGTTGCTCAGTGTTGGGCTTGTGTTCTTCGGGTAGTGGTTCGTGTTCCTTCTTCAACTCGTCGTGATCTGCGTGGAGTACCGCATTCTCTGTTTGGAGAGCTTGGATGTCGTTGCTGAGTTGGTCGTAGCCTTGTTGCACAGCCTTTGCCTCGTCATCTCGTTCCTTATACTTCTGTTCCCACTCTAGCTTCGCTTGCTTGAGCAGCGCTTTCTCCCGGCTTTCTTGCAAAGCTCTTGCTTCCAAAGCTTCCTTCTCCTCAAGAACCTTAGCGTAACGGGAAGCTTTAGCCTCTGCTTTGCCCAGACGATCGGCGAGTTTGACTTTCTCGTCACGTACGCGTTCTTCAACCCGCTGTTGTAGGTCTCTCTTGGACTCTTTCTTGATCTCTTCATACTCCTGTCTCCAGGCTTTTTCGTTCTTGGCGATGGTGGCCTTATCCTTTGCTACCTCTCGTGCTGTTTCTTCTCTTTCGCTCAGTAGTCCTTGGATCATAGCGGCAGATGCTGATCCCAATTCGCTGAGTTCGTTTCTCGCTTCTTTCAACTTCTGTTGAAGAACCTTCTCTGCTTCAGTCGACGCATTTTCAATGATCGCCTCCAGCAATAACAACACCCTTTCCGCGATCCCGTCTCTTGTGTCGTAAGCCATAGTGTCCCATTGCTTCCGTATGTCCATGAACTCATGGAAATCTCGTTCGGATTCGTTCTTCAGGTGTTGTCTGAAAGCTGTGTCATGAACCATTTCCGGCATAAGATGGCCTAAATCATCCAGTTGCTCCAATTGCATTTTCGAGCGTGCCTTGTGAGCACTGGCTGTTGTTATGGCGTTGGCCGCATCGTTGAACTTGTTAGGTAGCGCAATAAGAATGTTCTTCAGATTGCTGAGTTCCGCGGAGATCTTTCCGTCCGTTTTTTGCTCGAGATCGTCAAAGTGGACTTCATACTTCCCGAAAGGCGCACGCGGCTGATCCATAGAGGGCCAAACGCTCATGTTGACCTTCTAGCTCGCGAATAGTCTGCTGAGGACTCGGAGGATTGGTGTGAGTTGTTGCGGGGGTATTCAAGGCTGGCGAGACACGTAGTTAGATTCGTCTGTGACCGGGCGATCCTATGGAGGTGGGAGCTGAGCGCGTTTGATGATGTGTCAGGCGGGAGGGCGCAGTCGCGAGAAGTTAAGGTTGGTTCCAGCGGGGTTTGTTGTAGAACAACGCAATCAGGCAACACGAGATCAAAGCTCTGACCTTTCAGGAACAGGATAAGTAGAATTGGTACGTGCATCTATAGAGGTGGAGCTCAAGACTTGTGTCACATGTTAAGACACCATTACCTTCATTGATATCAACGTCACTAGCGCTGGACATTTCTTACTAAGATAAAATTCAAGCACGTCACACCAACCCTACATCTGCTTATGACCCGCAGCTATATTACGATCTATCAGCGATGTTGCCTTCCTCGGAAAGTCTGGACACAAAGACGACCAGATCTTCACAAGGTACAGTAGCAAGACTTGAACGTTTTAGTTCCCAACCCATCGCTACACCGTCTCTTAATGATGAGCAACATGACACCGTCAAGCCCGATGACCACTACCCTACCACTGCAATTTCTCAGGTCAGTCCATATGCGTCTCAATCTAGCAGCGAACTGACCGACATCAAGACCGACACAGACTGCGCATTTTGCACTTCCATTGGCCGTATACTCAATTGTTGCCAAGATCGAATGAACCCGCGCTCATGTCCTCAATGCGCGAAACTCGGTCAACACTTCACTCGAAAGGATACGAAGCACAATGAAGAGGTAGGTGCTTTGCGCGACAAAGTGCGGGAGCTGGAAGAGGAGACACCGGAGCAGAGGTTCAACAGGCTGAGCGTTGAGAAGAACACGAAGATTGATGGACTGAAAGCCGAGGTCGAGAAGATCAACAAGGAAGACGAGTCACTGAAAGCGGAGAGCGATGAGTTGGAGAAGAAGCTGAAGGTACTCGAGGCAGACATAAAGAAGTTACAGCCAGCGGTGGAGTTCACGATCAAGCAGAAGAAGACGAAAGGGAAGAAGAAGTAAACTTTTGGTGTTTACAATGGCGTCATGTTGCTAAAACTAGATATGAAAAGCGCTCTATGGCATGTACATAGCGATTTGGCACTTAACCTACCCCCTTCGGTGCGGCTTTGTAGTCTCTCCGCTAATCAAACAATTTACACCGATACCAACAACCCAAGGCTGAAACCTCCCAGTATCCGCATGCACAGGCTAAGGTACATCGTATAATGTTACCTGTTCAGAGTTCCCCAGACGTCGTCGAGCTTGTTCAAGCTTGGCGTCCAGCGATGCAACCTCTGCTTTCTTCTTATCCATTCAATTTAGCCTGGCTAGGTCTTTGCAGGTCTCTCCGTGGTCTCCTTGGACGTCTTGAGATCTGCGTTCTCTTTCTCTAACCTCGCAATCTGCTGCTCAAGCTCCTGAATTCTCGCTGCGGGGTCCAATACCTGCTTCAAAGCAGTGATAAGCCGGTGGTCCAGTGTCTTGGCTTCATACCGGGCGGTGTCGAGACGACTCTTGGTTATACTCAGAGTCTCATGCGTGAAGAGCTTGTCGATGCGCAGATCGGAGATTTCTTTGTCCTTCAACTTAGAGAGTTGAGCAAGCTTCAAGTCGAATTGTTCCTTTAGTTCAGCAATCAGTGTTTGCAGTGGCGCGTAAACCGTCTTCATGACCTCGTAGCACAATTTCTCGGCGTCGCGTTCTTGGGTCCGCAACGCCGCCTCCTCATCGTGCAGCTGAATGGTCAGCTCCATGAAGGCGGCCTCAGAAGCTCCCTCATGTTCTTTAACATCGAGCTGTGCTTTTTGTAGCTTAGCAATTTGTTGGCTGATGCTCTCGACAGCGGTCTTGACCTCAGCAATCGCTTCGCCAGCACGTTGGCCGTCGGAAACAAGGAGAGCTATTGCATCATGCATTCTTCGCAAACACACATAAATTGCGACAAAAGGCGTCTCCTTTTTGTCTAGCTCCAAGCTTGTTTTGACCCACTCCAGGAAATCGTCTTGTGTTGTGGCCTCATGCGTCGCGTCCTCTGTTGATGGAGTAGTCGCGGATGGTATCGCTGCAGATACAGGATTGTCCGGACTGAACAGCCCGCAGACTGCGGATAGCCACTCTTGCGTACTCTCCATATGCCCTTGACCAAGGGGACTTCCCGCTGGACTTCCGGCAGAGTCATGCTTGCTGGAAACGCCCTGAACACCGGAGAGGCCGTTGTCATCTGGCCTTTGGGAGTGGAAACCACCCTCATCAGCTGATGTAGGCGCCATGGATTCCTCGGTCTGGCCTTCGGCTGGTGGGTGGGGAGAGGACGGGAGGAAGCGGGATCCCTGAGAATTGTTTTGGGAGTTGTGATCTGTGCACGTTTGCTCCGAAGCAGTCTCAGTATCGACTGGTGAGCTGCCATCTGACTTTTCAGGGTTTTGCAATTCGTCTTGATCGGCTTTCTCATCAGTTTGGGACGTGCTGGACATGATGGGGTTTGAGACTGATCCGGTCGCGTTTTGTAGGTGTTTGGTCGTCCGACGTGCGTTGTACTGATGGAATGATGATATGGTCGTACCTTTGGGGCGGTCTATCAGGCAGGCGATTGTTGTTCCCGGAAGTCGGTCAGGTTTTGGAAAGCAGTGCAAGTGTCAGGGTTAGGCGGGAGTAGCGATGGAAGTTGTTGGTGCTTGTTTGTTCTATGTCATAACGGGAAATCGCGCTGGGACCTGCTGTACAGCCTTGGAAAACAGTCCATAAAATGACCGGCTCTTGTGACACAATCAGTCACCCTTTGTTCTTCGTAATACACTCTACCCCACGTCGCCTGCATAATCTTCTCTTATTAGCCAACCTTTTAAGAAAGACCTCGACCTAGTCCAACTCTCCAAACCCATCGGCTCGACCAGACTTCAACTACGTAGAAATGCCAGAAGAGATGCCAAAAAGCAGCGCCCAAGAAAAGCGCGACTACATCAAGGCGTTGCAAATACAGATAGAGGAAGCAGAAGAAGAAGACAAGAGGCTAGAAAGATATCTAGAAGAGCGGAGGCAGGAGCTGAAGGAGCTGGAGGCCAAGATTAGGGAGAAAGAAGGTATACCATCAAACTAGACATGGAAAAGAAGATGGCGATGAAGGAATGAGTAATAGGTAGAAGGGCAGCTTCGGTCAGGTCTTGGTTGATGTGAGGCGGTCTCCCGATGAATTTCACGGATTATATGACAGTAGGAAGGCCCCACACATATATGCAGCTGATGAGTGTTCTTCTATTTGGACAAAGCTGTGAATGGCAGTCGGTTCCTATCGTGCTCGTTGTTCAAGGATCGCGCTCCGCGGTGATGTTGATGAATGCATGCAAAGGCCGCGACGTGAAGGCAAGACTGCGAACACAATGACATCTGCCAATTCCTGACTCGAACGCGAAACCCGAATGGTGAAAGGTCAAACCCCACAAATATCAGAACAGCGTGGCCTCTTGGGAGTTTGGTGGGAGATTCGCGATAGCTCAGGGACGGAGCTACGGCTAGCGCGCGCACGGGTAATTTCCCCAGCGACACGTTGCGAAAGCTCATGAAGCAAACCCCCTCTCCATCTTCCATCAACTGGCTGTTCGCAACCACCTTCTTCACCTTCTCGTTGTCTTCTTTCTTGTCTCTGGGCCATAGTTCGCAATCATGAGCGGCCGTAAGTCTCCACCCCACCCGTCAATGGCGCGGCGAGGCGTGCGCGCAACACCTGCGAGGAATTAATTACGGCGCGGACGAACACCACAGCTAACGGTTGCACGTAGTACGGTTCCTCGATCTCGTCAAGCCTTTTGTGCCTCTGGTGCCTGAAATTCAGCTGCCAGAGAGCAAGGTTCCTTTCAACAACCGCCTGGTATGGACCGGTCTCACCCTCCTCGTCTTCCTCGTCATGAGCCAGATGCCGCTCTACGGAATCGTGTCGTCTGATACCTCCGACCCGCTATACTGGCTCCGTATGATGATGGCGAGTAACAGAGGAACGCTGATGGAACTGGGTATCACCCCCATCATCACCTCCGGCATGGTTTTCCAGCTCCTCGCGGGAACCCACCTCATCGACGTCAACCTCGACCTCAAGTCTGATCGCGAGCTCTACCAGACCGCGCAGAAGCTCCTCGCTATTCTCCTGTCTTTCGGTCAGGCCGTCGTCTATGTCATCTCGGGTCTCTACGGACAGCCATCCGACCTCGGTGCCGGTATCTGCGTTCTCCTCGTCATTCAGCTGATGATCGCTGGTCTGATCGTTATCCTCCTCGACGAGCTCCTCCAGAAGGGCTACGGTCTCGGCAGCGGTATCTCGCTCTTCATTGCCACCAACATTTGCGAGTCCATTATGTGGAAGGCTTTCTCGCCCACCACCATCAACACTGGTCGCGGTCCTGAGTTCGAGGGTGCTCTCATCGCCCTTGTACACCTGCTCTTCACCTGGCCCAACAAGACTGTTGCGCTCAAGGAGGCTTTCTACCGCCAGAACCTCCCCAACGTCATGAACCTGATCTCCACCGTCATCGTTTTCGGTGCTGTCATCTACCTCCAGGGCTTCCGCGTTGAGATCCCCGTCAAGTCCGCCCGCCAGCGTGGTGTCCGTGGCTCATACCCCGTCCGCCTGTTCTACACCTCCAACATGCCCATCATGCTGCAGTCGGCTCTGTCCTCCAACGTCTTCTTGATCAGCCAGATGCTCTACAACCGTTTCTCCGACAACCTCCTCGTCAAGCTTCTCGGTGTCTGGGAGCCCAAGGAGGGTTCCGCTCAGCTTTTCGCTACCTCCGGTGTCGCCTACTACATGTATGTCTAGTCATCGTTCAGCTACAGTACCAGTCACTAACTCGCTCCAGGTCTCCCCCTCTCAGCATCACCGAGGCTCTCTCCGACCCCCTGAAGACCGCCATCTTCATCGTATACATGCTCGTCGCTTGCGCTGTCTTCTCCAAGACCTGGATCGAGGTTTCCGGCTCGTCTCCCCGCGATGTCGCTAAGCAGCTCAAAGAGCAGGGTCTGGTCATGGCTGGTCACCGTGAGGAGTCTATGTACAAGGAGCTCAAGCGCGTCATTCCTACCGCGGCTGCCTTTGGTGGTGCCTGCATTGGAGCTCTGTCCGTCGGCAGCGACCTTCTCGGTGCTCTCGGCAGCGGTACTGGTATTCTCCTTGCCGTAACCATCATCTACGGATACTTCGAAATTGCCGCCAAGGAGGGCGACATGGCCGGCCTCAAGGGCATGGTCATGGGCTAGATTAGCCCATAGGGATATTGGATTTTTGATTTGAACGACGGATGGGTTGGGGCTGGGGTGCTTCGCCGCACATTGTAACATATGATCTAAGAACAAAAGTTTACGAAGGTCTCTGGCATCACTTTACGTACTGCAGCGTGGCGTCTGGCTAGGCTCACGATGTCGGCCCTTCTCTAATGTATCATTGTTAACCCTTAAACTACGTTTGGACCTGATCGCACCTGCAGTTTCTACTTGGAGCACTCACGTGCTCAGCCTTGGCGTGTTGCTCCTGGCGCCTTACTCATCGAGCTTCAGTCGTTCTTGCCCTGTCTGTTGCGTGCACCTAGGTATTGCATCCAACGACAGGTATGCCTCCGCCGTCATCAAGAGCCCACGTCGTGGATTCAACCTTCAACAGCAGTATCGCATTGGTCAGCTTAGCGAATGCGAAAGGTGGCTTACGTGCGTACCAAACCGCCACGCTAACGCATGCTGCGGTCTGCGATGCGAAAGTCTGGGCATTGCGGCCTAGGAAACATCGTCATACACGGCATTGAGGCGTTTTACATATGGGTAATGCGAAGATTAAGCGAATGCGATGTACTGCTGCGGATGCGAAATCTAGTCATGATGCAGTGCGTGTCTTCAGTTTGGACGACTACATAAGATGGGGTTGTCGCTGCTTGAGGTGAGGTATTGCAGCTATCTGTCTTACTTCTTCTCCGATTTCTAGTACTCATACTTGATCGTTTCGCTCGGATTCTTGTTAAACCGTCATCATGGCAAGCTCACTTAGCATCGCTCATGCTACGCTGGACTGGAAACGACAGAATCCACCTAAAGGGCCAGGCTTCGATTGGGAGATGTACCGTTATGTTCCTTCTATGGCTGGAGCAATCGTCTGCCTCGTCGTGTTCCTCGTAATGGCTCTTCTACATTTGTATCAGTTTCTCAAGTCGAGGAATCGGATTATCGTTTTTGTTGTTATCGGCGCATTATGTACGCTATATCCTCCTGATGATCTCTCACATACCAGTGGCACTCCATACGCAATGTCTTTGAACTTTGCTAACACTCGATTGCAGGCGAAGTTGGCGGATACGGCGCACGCATCGCTTCTCACTTCGATAATCAAGCCTGGGGCCCATACATCACTCAAGGTGTACTGACACTTGTCGGTCCTCTGTGGTTCGCCGCAACCATATACATGATGCTTGGCCGTACCATCAGACTCGCCGGCGGAGAAGACGTCAGTCTGATCCCAGCGAGATGGTACACAAGAATCTTTGTCACCGCGGATGTCACAACGTTGATCATCCAGGGCTTAGGTACGCGAACTTGACAAAGATGAGGACCGAAAGGATGTAAGCTAATGAGATAACAGGCGCCAGCATCATGGGAACCATGCAACTCGCCCTCGCCCTCGCAGGCGAGAAGATCGTCATCGCGGGCCTCGCACTCCAAGTCGCTACCTTCATCATCTTCCTCGTCGCCTCTTTCGACTTCCAAATCCGCATGAACAAGAAAGCCGATCATCCCTCAGCAGACTGGAAGAAGATGCTATACATACTCTACAGCGTCAGTGCGCTGATCTTGTTCCGCTGCACCTTCAGACTCATCGAGTATGCCATGGGCAACGCTGCGTATCTGATTGCGCATGAATGGACGTTGTATTGCTTCGATGCTGTGCCAATGTTTTTGGTCTTGGTGCTGTTGCTGGTTCTGCAGCCGAGTCGATATGTTGAGGGAAACTTGGGGAAATCGCGACTGGACAGCGATGGCGAGGTCGGCGTTGTGGAGAGAAAGTGATGGGTTTTGGCAGTTTGGTCAGTACTTTCAGCGCGCTTGGAGCAACTTTTACGGGTGTCCTCCATATTCCTAAGCGCAATACATTTTGCTTCTGTTCTTCAGTCTGCTTACGACCTCATCTTTTCGGCAAGTCCTGGTACATTTGCCTGGACCCACGCAGGCGAAACCTTTCAAATGCCTTCGACTTTGCACAGCAGGCTATAACATGTTTTCACATGCCAATAACGTTTATTTGAGCTTGACAGCCGGCCGTTGCGAAAGCTCACTTTGGCCCCTATGACGTGCATGACTCGAGGTAGGTCAGATCTTAGCTCTCAAGCTTGGAACAAGCGCACCCAGCCACATCTGGCGGCACGCCTCACGCAGCACCACCTCATGCTGCCACAAAATGTGATTCCTCAATCTATATTAGCTACACACAGACATCAAACGGGATGGCGCGCCGCTCCACCACGTTCGTGACTAAAAGGCCGCATCGCAAATCGAGGGGCGGATGCTTCACCTGCAAGAAGAAGAAAGTGAAGGTACATTCAATATCAAGAGCATTCAAATAGGAACGTGGTATTGATCTGGTGCAGTGTGACGAAACGCAGCCCAAATGTGGTTACTGTAACCTCCGAGATTTGGACTGCGAATATATTCAGAATGTCCCCTCGACATCTCGGACGTCGTCCGCCGGCCCATCGTCCAGTGACGAGGGTCTACCATCTACATCCAACACTCCAGCAAACTTCAACGATCTTTCTGCCCAGTTGATACCATATCTTAGCCCACACTGCCATACATCCATAGGCACCCTCACAGCGCTCGACAGTCATCTACTGCAATACTACAGAACAGACGCATACCGCACCGTCGTATCCTGCGACGATGCTATCATCCAGAACCTACACAAAGAGACCATACCCCAACTAAGCATCTCCAACCCATTTCTCCTATACGCTCTACTCGGCATGACAGCAACCTACAGCAACAACATCACGCCCAACAAGACGGTCGAAAAACAAGCCCTGCTCTACCGCCAGAAGACCTTTTCCGCCTACAAAGAAGCCCTCAAGAACATCACAGCTGAAAACTACGAAGCCGTCCTTGTAACGGGCGGTCTTCTCCTCGCGCTCGTTCCCGCGCCGAACACGGACATAGACGAAGATTACCTCGAATGGGTGTTCGGCCTCCTCAAACTAAGCGAAGGCCTGCGTATCCTCGCCTCCCTCCGCTGGGCCCAAGGCATCGAGAAACTTTCCGTGTACCCATTGGTACGCCGTGAAATCAAGACGCTGCCACCCCCACCCATCATCGACGTCGCAGGCATCGAAGCGCCCATCGGTCCTCTGGGAACGACGCCTGATAACCCCAATCCAGCTCCGACATACACGCCCATCCAGTTCCCCACGCAAACTCGCCTCTTTCTTCCACCGCCCCTGATGCAACTCCTCCAAAGCGTTATCCGAGGAAAGGAGTCAGGGACACTAGACTGGCACCGACCAACCCTTCTCCCCGTCTTCCACGCTCTATCCCCCATCTTCCTATCCCTGTATTACTACGGGCTAGACTCTGACTTCTACGTCCGCATCTTCGTCTGGACATCCTTCCTCATGCCAGACTACCTCCAGTTGATGCGGGACAAGGAACCAAGAGCTCTGGTGCTATTCGGGTGGTGGTTGACGCTGGCAAATCTAGCGCCGAAGGGGTGGTGGACAGGGAAGCGAGTGCGTAAGACTATTGGGGCGATGGTGCGGGCGATTCAAGCGCAGCCTGTGGGGGATGATGGGTTTGCAGAGCGCGTTTTGGGGAGTGCGTTGAGGATTGTTGATGTTGTGGATAGGGAGGGGAAGGAAGCGGCGGCTAAGGCGGTGTTTGATGACTGGCCTGGTGTTAATTGGGAGGATGGGCCGGGGAGGGCTCAGGCGTGGGAGTATGGTCAGCTCGTGGATCTGGGGGAGTTGGATGGCGGTTTGGATATGGATGCTGCTATGGGTATCGATCTACAGGAGCTTGGTATATCGGTTTAAACGTTCATCTAAATGCCACTGCGCATGATCTGGCTGTAAGCCTCCTTATTGTCCTATCTCGGGCGTTGTCCCAGCTGTCTCTGCAGCAGCACTCTTGTTTCCTGCCTCCGGTTCCTCTTGGTTCCGCCCGCCTTTTGGCTCCCTGAGCATGCAATATAGCTTGATAGCGTCCTTCTCTCCCTCTCCATCCCTACACTCCATCTCCCTCGCTAATCGAAAGCCAAACTTCTCATAGATCGCGATATTCGGCTCACTCCTGCTACTCTCCAAATAGCACATCCTCCCTTCCTTATCAGCCATATCCAGCACCTCTTCCATCAATGCCCTTCCCACACCCTGTCCCTGACACTCCGGCAACACAGTAACGATGTTGCAGAAATAGTATCCCTTTGGATCTGTCCACAGCTCGGACTGCGCCTCTGCCTGTCGCGCCTTCCATATCCAATATCGTGTTGTGCTGAGGCCACCGCGCCCATACCACAGGTTCATGCGTATTTGGTTGGCCCATAGATACCAATACGAGAGGTATAGCGACCAGGACTCGGGTTCGGACGTGGGTCGCGGTGGGAGCCACATTGCGCAGCCGAGGATCTTGGACGGGTTCGCGGTGTCGCGTGCGACGTGGAAGAGGCCATGCTCGATGCCCCAGCGGCATCGTAGGGTGAGGGATACGCGGTTTCGTACTAGAGAGACCTGAGATGGTTAGCAGGGCGCGCGAGACGGGTACTGAGGTAAATACCTTTTCGCGGTCGGGAAAGACCCAGTTGTTGTAAGGGTCATTGGCGAAGGCTTGTTGTATGGTATCGATTGCGCCGTCGATATCGGCCTCTTTCATGCGCGTTACTTGGATAGGCATTGTGAGAGGTTCTGTGGTGTTGAGGTGTTTCGAGACTCTTCGTGTCACGGCGGCAGTAGATACGAAGAGATATGCGCCAGTCTCAAAACTGGCAAACTTCGATAACCGGCCATGATAGGTGCGGGGAGGTTTGTAGAGCTTGTCGCATGCAACATGTGGATAGGTGATGAGATGGGAAGGTCTAAGCGACAGTCACGTGCGTTGCGGGGGCTTCCGATGCTTGTCTGAGCATGTGCGCGCGAACCATCTTCACCAATCCTACCTGCAGCTGTCTTGGCTATGTTCACAGCTTCAGCCTGGTAACAATGCCAGCTTTCAAGAATGAAAGTCCGGCCTTGGTGCCTTGGACCTGCGTGACAACGCACACTAAACACCATGGAGACTTCCAAGCAAAGACTCAGACGGGCTTTGCGATTATCTGGCCCAACTATTGGCTTGAAACGATCCCAAACAGATACTACTAATGGCCAAGCTCAGCTGCGCCCTGACTATCAGGCTGAAGGTGGGGTAGAATCGGCGGCAGCAAGTCTGCCCCATCTCCAGTCTATACCTCCTGCGTCACAGTCCAAAGATGGACACCAACCTACTATGCAGCTAAACAGTAGCAGCGTCCCCGATAGATGGGCCGAGATAAGGCAAAAGGCCGAGTTGAGACGAGCCGCGCAAGGTGACGAAGAAACCCAAGATGAGGAAAGACGCGTGGCACGCATAAAAGCTCGAATAGCAGAGTTGACGAGCAACTATGATGAAGGCTTCCCTGTTCCTACCGAGCAAAACCAAGAGAGACCATTAACACTGCACACCCGTCGACATACGGCTGGGAACATTACCACCTCCCCTAATGCACAGCCTGCGCCTCGTCACAATGATATTTACATGGAACCTGTGGTCTTCGACGACGCCTTATCTGAGCCGTCCGTCATCAAACCCGTTGAAGAATCTACCCGAAAATCGTCAGCGAATGGAAGCGATCCGACTCGTATCGAACGAGACCTAATCTGTAGACCATGGGATTCGAAGGCAATACTACATCGTATATTATCGGAGATAGGTGTTGCAAGCGCTCGAGACGCTCTGGAAAGCCGTGGGATTACCGATCTGTGGCTACCGCTGTCGAAGCCACTACTCAAACGATTACTGAGTGATCCGCGTCATGTCTCGGAGTTTCTAAGACTACAAGACGAACATCTCAACGTGGTTCTTGCGCGTTGGACGCAGCCTGGCACAGGAGAACATATACACGATATGGTGTTCAGTCACTGCGAGTTTGAGGACGACGAAGAGATATTTGAGGCTAATCGGATTCTCGGTGAAGGGCTGGTAGGCCTTGTTGAAGAGGTGACAGTACGATCCCGGAAACCACCCATTACATGCGCACGAAAGAAGATTGGTAGGCCTAGGCAGCTCAAAGCGCATGGCCAGATCATGGCTGCCTTCATTCGGGAGATTAGAGTCATGCGTCAAGTCGATCATCGCCACTGCGTTCGGTTCATTGGGAGCTATACCGATAATGAGTCTGTTAATATTCTCTCGTCTCCGCTGGCTGATATGGATCTTGCGACCTTCCTCGATAACCCTATCGGAGACAGGGAATGGGCCATACTCTACAAGGGCATTGACTGTCTTTGCAACGGGCTGTAAGTGCATGACATCCTACCCTTCCACAAACGTCAACAGACAGTTCCGAACACCGATGATGGACAGGTGACACGCTGGCTGCATAGTTGAAATGAGTAGTATTTGACTAATATTCGCGCAGGTTATATCTTCATGACAACAAAATTCGGTAAGTGCACGGAGATAAGCACATTTGGACAAGCCGCGCTGCATGAGCGCTTCCATCCACTACTTCAGTAAATCGTCCCCAGATAATAGAACTGACACTACTTAGACACGAGGATCTGAAACCGCAAAACGTTCTTGTCCATGGTCATAATATATTGCTTACCGATTTTGGGTTTAGGCAAGTCCTTGTCTTCACATCACTATTATGGTGCTGACCGTGTATAGCTTGGACTTCTCGGATGATTCTGTTTCGACAACTACCGGACGTCCATCAGCATGGACTATCCGATACTCCGCACCAGAGGTTTTGGACTCCGAACCACGCAACAGAGCTAGTGACATATTCTCTCTTGGATGTGTTCTGATCGAGATGGTCTCAGGACTCTACGGGCACAGTCTCTCCGAAGTCAAGGAATATTGGAAGAAGTCTAGCAACGGACAGTCGAGCTTTGCACGCAACCCCCAAGCGACGTCCTCATGGATCGACTTACTGTCAGACCGTCCTGAGGTCGGAAGACTTGACCAGATCGTCAACTTCCTACCGGAACTACTGGTCACAAAACGGCTTGATCGACCGTCGGCTCAGTCAGTTGTACACATACTGGAAGACCTGAGTCTACATTTTCATGAGCCCCCACGTCTTTTCAACACCTGTTGCGGGCCACCGGTAGGGCGGATAAAGAGTCGCCAACCCAAGTGGGTTGGAGGAAGTGGCTTGCTAAAAACACGGGGTCCACAGTTCTGGTACGACCTTCGCAGTTACTTCGATGCTGTTGCAGACCCCGAGATGAACTATGTCATACTTGACCAGCGTTTCAAACAAGTCGCTGCTAAGCATGACTGTTACTCTCGTCTATGGGACATGCTCAACGATGTTTCTCCGATCACGGAGGCATGCGAAACGCTTTACAGCATATCCGACAACACAGACCCGAATGCAACTTACTCATACAAGCATAGTCTTGAATCATCACAGCTGGATAACCGGTACCTGGACCGCGTGCTGCCGCAGGTACTTGAAGCGTACACCTCGTGGCAGGTTATATTCACAGCGCTGAGTATAAATCTTCCTACTCCTAAATCGCAATGGTCCTCGAAAACTCAAGTCCCTTTCCAACCCAAGGAACTCTCGACCGTGTGTCGTGAGCGGACAGTACAAATCTCCATGGTTGGTAACGGTCGTTATCTAAATAACGACCGCTGCTTCAGTAAAGTATATTACGTTTTGGCATTCAAACTGTTTGGGAAAGGATACGAGCCTTCAGAGCTGGGCGCACCTGTTGTGGACATGAGCAAGACGACACCTAGCCGGCTCGAGATGGATGATGACTGGGGAGTCGGTTTCGCTAAAAAGTGAGAGCAGTGTACGTAGTAGAAGATACCCAGCCGATAAGAGCGCGGATGTTACACTACAACTACTGCGTGAGGTTTCTGATGTGTAGGAACATCTTGTGTGACGGGTACCTAAATCGGCGAAAGCAAAGCACAGCGAATTTCAGGGCAAAAGCTCACGGCATGATGGACTTTCCAACAAATTTGTAAAATAATCTTACCAACTATCCAGGATCATATCCAGGGTTTACAAGCCATTCTGAGTCGAGATCAAGATTAGCATCATTACGTCTGCAGCTAGATTTTGGACAGGAGGCAGGGTGTAGGCCAATGATCGTGTCACTATTCGTGTAGTGCGTGCGCTCTATATGCGGTCGTAACCAAGGACGAATTGATCCGAAGGTTACTGGAAAAGATGTCATGCCTAAGCGTAACGATGCTGCCCAAGTCTGATGATTCTCGGCGTCATCATCAGACCTAAGGCTACCTGACAACGAAAAGGAAAGAGAACGAGGCAAGCAGGACTGATGGTGTGCGGAACTCAAGTACCAAAGGCAAATGTACAACATGAGCAGCGATCCCCATAATGCACATAGAGTCGCAAGGTCCAATTGTAGCTCCTATATGGTAGCGACCTGACGAAGTAAGGAACTAATCATCGCCCATGGCCCACACGCTCAAAAGTACGCTGCGCATCGAACGTACGCTTTTTGTGTGACTCAAAAACCTAGATGCGCAGACGCATGCTTACCTTTTCCCTTAACCAACATCGCAACGAATCAAGCAACCAAAAAGCTGCATGATTGCTTTTCGTGACCAAGACATTCCGCTTCCGCGATAACGCTCATACACACGCAGCACACACACATCGTGATAGTTCTACATACGAACCCACATACTCACCGCTCGAACCCCAAAAGCCCATACTCACACATGCGCTTATGTCAACATGTTCGCACAAAGCAAGCCCCGCACTACACTACAGGACACTACCCCAACCCCAGCCCAACGTCTATTCGTCATGGGATCGACAGTCCTGCATGGCCTGGTCAGTCAGCCTACCGAACCCAGTCCAGCCCAGTCCGATGACACCCTCCCGCACTGTGCGCGGGCGAAGCGAGTGAGCATGAGCGGTTCCGGATAGCGAATGCGAGTATGCATGGGGTAGTAGTAGACCTGTTTTGACCGGGCCGTTGTTGGGTTGGGAGTTGATGGCAGATGCGCGTGTGTGGCATGACATGTGTGGCGAGGAGGCGCTGCTTTTTTGTTCCGGGGGGCTATGCTATGGGATGCTGATTCTGCGGTGATTGATGTGGCGAGGGACATGTACATGGTCTTCGTACTTGGGCTGCGTAGTCGGCCCGCTTTGTACATGTTTGTGTATACTTATCGGTGGATGGAGGTTACCGGCGTTGTTGATACGAACGTCTACCGTGTTGAGTCTATTGAATATTTTTGGTGGTGTTAGGACATGAGTAGGCACATGATGTCAACGTCCGAACGTCGGCATTTTCCTCCTTTGCGATCAACATGTCGACGATCTCTGTTCAACATCTTAGGCTCTCGCTTACGGCGATGTAGTATACCGTGAGATATCAGCTGATTCGCCGGGTTGTACAGCCTTGTGTCCGGCTTTTTCCTTGAACCGTGGCGCTGTAAAGGTTAGGTATGAGGAACAGGCAGCCAACCTTGTTCGGATATAGAGCATGGATGCAAGCGCGAATACGGAATGAGATAGGTAGGATACTTCGTGAGCTTCCGCTTAAAGGCACGATTATCGGCGTTGCATCCGTAGCGACGATCCGGAAATTCTTGGTTCCGAGCTGTTACCTGGCATTTTAACATGCACATGGAAGGCACAGTAAATAGCAATAATTTCCCAGGGTGCTGAGGCAGCAGGACCAGGCCGTGTTGCAAGATGCATCTGCCGGAGGACAGGCGGAGACGGGTACTGTACGCAGCGCAGCATAAGTGGGCAGCTAACAAGACGCAACTAGAGATTCGAAAGCGAGAACCTGAGCCATCCTTGGATCATCGTGGTACTTGTTGATCAACTGAGAGAACTGGCCTCCGCAAAGTCGAGACCATCCGTATGACACCGTATAGCGCCTGCATGTACCCTTGAACTGTAAAGGGTGGGTAACTATAAGGGCAGATAGTACCACTTGGTGTGCATACAGGCGACCCGCTGGCGGCCGACGATTCAGTGTTGGGCAGTCAGGCAGCCAGTACGTGGGAGTGCGAGAGCGATCGGAAAGAGCGGAAGCAGGAAAAAAGTCGATGAAACGCAGTCCGGAAAGTTAAGCCACCGTGTTGTGTGGTGCGGGTAGTCCTTGAGCGGTCTGTTTGGGGCAACTCCAGGTCATCCTAGGCACCGGATTACTGTTAATGCTAGTAGCCAAGAGGGGTGGTGTTGCGAATGCGGGCGCTGATGGAGCGCGTACTAGCCGCATCGCCGTGAAAACATCGGTGTGTTCGACAAAGAGGCAAGCCGGGGCTGCCGTGGTCATCAGACAGGCTGGGAGGCAGGTGCGAAGGCGGCAAGTCGGGCAATAAGCGACGTGCGTGTACTCTACGCAGAAACCGATCTATGTCCTGGGCGCCCAAAAATAGGGCGTTCAATTTGCTGAGACGTACAAATCAGGACCATGCAGGTGTGACTGCTTCTGCGCATAATCGTAGGCGAATAAAGAAGGTACTTCGGGTCGTCGCTCAGTGGTGGAAGTGGACTTTTGGGATCGCCACGTAAGCACAATTTAGCCTAGAGCATGTCTAGAATAAGAAGATAGGCGATTTGCCGATCTGGTGAGGTGGAAAAATTCATGGCGCATGCATGGCATCCGTGGGCCCGTTTGCACCGTCATACACCTGACGGGGAACTACTTGCATAGGAGCTTCCGCAAGTAAGTCTCAGTTGGCAACTCAAGGATGGTCACCTCCACACAAAGGACGGCCCTTGTCAGCAGTGATGCACGCAGTAGTACCGAGCCTTGGATTGCATTTGACACATCGCCTGATGTAACAGCGGCCGAGTGCATGACTGGCGGGCACCAAGTTGTGTCTTACAAACGAATAGCAACTGCTATATAGGGTTCCGACTAGGGGTGTGCTGCTGGAATATTAAAGCGGAGTGCAATTGCCGGATTGGTGCGTAGTATTACAAGACTGAGATCGGTGGTGTAACTGTAAGCGGTAAGCATAATGCTAGAGGTGGCCCGACCTCGGATATTCTATGTGGCAGACGTGCTGATCGAGAAACTTTGCTCTATATTAGCTGCCATGTCGACACAAGTTGCAGCAGCAAGCGCCTCAATACACCCTGATTCATGATGACGGCCGGATCCATCGCTCCTCAGGATGCATTGTTGTATTGGCTTTGAGGCGGTTGGTGGCAGCTAGGTACCGAACCTAAAGAGGTGCGACAGGCAAAAGGGTCGCGGTGGAGCGGCAGAAGGAAAACAAACGCTCGTACTGCGTGAAACCGAGTCACCGCCGGGCCCTGGTAAAGTGGAGAAGATTTTGCGGAGATGCAGGCTGGCTTCAGCTGCTGCGTCGTAAGACAATTAGCATGGGATCGCCCGACAGAAGTTTCATCAGTTGCGCGCTCGGGTGAAGCGAAGGTACAGACGTGTACACGATACCCACGGTCCGGCATGCTCGTGCGGCAGTCTTGGCTAGGTAAAAGTGATGCAGAGTCATGGCTTGTTCTTGTTGATGTACCAGCAACTTGTACACACAAGCGAGTCAACGGCTGTGAGCTGGCACAGTGGCGGTCTGACTGGTCAGACTCGTACCCCGGCTACGAGCGCATATCGTGTATGTGGAAATGCCATCTTGCCCCATGGTCGTAGCCCTAGTGATGTTGAGTGGGGTGTCGGTGTCCGATTTCCTCTTCGTGCGTCACACGCGCATGTTCGAGATGCTGTACCGCTGGTGCTTGCCTGAGGTGTGCAGTAGGACTTGTTTCCGGCAAATATCCAAGATTGCGTCGAGCACAACTTGCAGCAGTAAGGAGGCTCACCGACGAGCTAGTGTGGCTGCTGATCCAAGCAGACAGGAGGCTTCAACGGAGGACGGCGATTGGACCAGGGGCTCTCGACGTTGAGCAAGTGGGCTCGCGAGCCGCCTGGTGAGGCTAATGCTCGCTGGTGGGCAAGGATAAAGTGCCGCCGCGCCCGCAAAGAGAATTTCGCGTTCGCATGGGCCGACCATGATCTAGAACACATCACACGCAGACAGGCCGATACCATGCTAAAGGATCGTCGTCGTCCACAAATAATGCAGCTACCAAGCCGACCGAGTTCTTTTTCATGCAACTGGTTCACATCGTGCTTCACCTCGCGCTTGGTTAGGGTGCTTGCGTGACCGGGAAACGACCTATAGCCTGGCCACGTCTAGTGAATGGTGTTGACAAAACTCAAGGGAACGCCAGGATGATAGACTATCATGCTGAAGGTAACGTCGTGTCAACATGACCATGGTTGATATGGCAGGGCGGGCCATGAGGGACTTTGTGGTTGGTTTGAGCTAGCGTAGCGATGCCGCTCATACCGTGATTCTCTGCCTTTCCAGCATTCTTAGAGATGATGCGACGCCACGTTTGAGACCCACTCGACTCGTGGGCCACCCGCTGATACGTCATTAAAGGGTTTTTCTTCCCGTGTTGCAGATTGCCGGACTGGGGCTGTCAGCGCCTGGCTTCGACACACTGGCACTGTGATGAGTGCAGCACCCGTGCCGCGTCCATCCAAGCGCATCCTCCATAATAATGCCGGAGAAAGCCTTTTTGAAACCACAGTTTTCACAATCTCGATTGATGGAGCTTACGGCGTACAGCACGGCTAGGAGGCACGGGATTCCAGATAGTGCAATGTCTGTGAATGGCGCTGTGCCCAATGCTGCGCGGCCTATTGTCTCGAGCGGATCATCTGAACGCGAAACTATGGGAAGACGCGGGTCAGCACCCAGCACCTCGATTCGACGGTTCGTAGATTGAGCGTACAAGATCAAGCGACGCTTTGCAGA